GTTCACAGCAACATCAAGAGGAAGGTACAGAAATTTCCCGTGTACCATTTGGCCCCTTCACATTCATTGCCTCTCCCATTATCAGTGCCACCCAACAGAGTGGTAAATTTATTATAATTTGTGAACCTACATTGACACATCATAATCACACAAAGTCCATAGTTTACATTAGGGTTCACTCTTGGTATTGTACACTCTATGGGTTTGGACAAATGTGTCCACTTAGAGTATCATAAAGCATATTTTCACTGCCTTAAAAATTCTCTGTGTTCTTCATTTTCATTCCCCTGTCCCTTTTTACTGTCTTTATAGTTTTCCCATTTCCGGAATGTCAAAGTTGGAATCATAAGTACTCAAATTCTTCATACATCATATTTATTGAGCCCTTGAGGCAGTACTGTGGGCCAGACACTGTTCCGTTTGGAAATAATGCAGTGAACAAAATTGAGAAACTCTTCACCTTGATTAAGTTATATTCTAATGAGAGAAAGGGCAACACTGTATATATGCATTTGTCCCTCAGCATTCTTGGGGGATTGGTTCTAGTACCCCTCACGGATATCAGAATCCACTGATACTCAAATCCATTGTATGAAATGGTATAGTATTTGCATATAGCTGACACAAATCCTCCCATATACTTTAAATCATCTCTAGGTTACTTACAAAACCTAATACAATGTAAATGCTCTGTGAATAGTTGTTATACTATATTCTTTGAGAAAAAAGTCTATACATATTCAGTACAGGTGCAACAAATCTTTTTTTTTTTTTTTAATATTATCAATCCATGATTGGTTGAATCCACAGATGCAGAACTACAGAAATGGAAGGCTAACTGTATATTGTGAGGTAGTTGGATGCTGTAAAATTTTATTAGGTTATTAAATACGAAATGTCTGATTTCCTTAAGTACTAAGTTTAACAGTTGATATCTCTGATATTTCATTTTTGACACTTGGGTTTTTGTTTTTGTTTTTTTTTTTAATTGTGAAGGTACATCCTCATTCTTTCAGATGCACTTTTTGGCTTATGATTATCTTTCAAATTTTTTTTTTTAGAGCAATTTTCATGAAACTATGGATCAGTCAAAAATTCGAGTTATTTTTGAATATGAGTTCCATCATGGAACCAATGCAGCGCAGACAGATCGAAATATCAATGAAATGTTTGGGAAGGATGTGGCTAATGAACACAAAGTACATCAATGGTTTGAGAAGTTCCATTCTGATGATTTTAATGTTGAAAATGAGCCACATGGGCAACCTGAGACGAAGGTGGATAATGATGAACTAAAAGCTGTAGTGGAAGTGAATCCATCTCGACCTACACACGAATTAGCAGCAAGGTTTGACGTTACTATTCCAACAATATTGGACCATTTGAAACAAAATGGGCAAGGTAAAGAAGCTGGATGGATGGGTTCTGCATAAATTAAATGAGCATCGTAAGAGAAATCATCTCAAAGCTTGCCTTTCTTTGCTGTCACAACATAAAGACAAACCATTTCCACACCGTATTGTAACGTGTGATGAAAAATGGATTCTTTTTGACAGTCCCAAGTGTTCAGCACAGTGAACAAAGATGAAGTGCGAAACACAGTCCAAAACCGAATATTCATCAAAAACAGCTAATGGTGTCTGTTTGGTGGTCCAGCACTGGTAGTATTCACTACAGCTTCATGAAACCTGGTCATTCGATTACAGCAGATGTCTCTGCAGCCAGTTGGATGAAATGATGAGGATGCTTGTGATTAAGCAGCCAAGATTGGTCAATAGAGACAGGCCAATCCTCTTGTAAGACCACATGTTGCAAAAAACAATGCTGCTCAGGCTGCAAAAGCTGGACTTGGAAACTCTCTGTCATCCATTGTATTCTCCAGACCTTGCACCAACTACCACTTCTTCTAGGCTTTGGACCACTTGTAAAGAAAAATATTCAATTCTCAACAAGCTGTGGAAAACGCCTTTCGTGTTTTCATTGCCACTCACTCTTCAGGCTTCTTCTCTGCTGGCATAGACAAGCACCGTTAAGATGGCAAAACTGCTGATAGTTTGGGTTCATACTTTGATTAATTGTACTCCTTCTTGTTTGAGATAAACTATACTTTTGATTCAAAATCAGACATTTCATATTTAATGACCTAATAGCTAAGGTAATCTAGCAAGGCCTGGGATGAGACAGTATTTGAAAAGAGACCTGAATAAAGAAAGGAGATGAACCAGCCTCTCGACTCTTTAGGAGGAAAGTATTGCCACCAGAGGTAATGGTATATGCAAAGAACCTGAGGAGAGTGGCAGTGTTTGGTGAGAGAAATGGCAGAGAGGCCATTGTGTGAGGAGAATAGTCGGACACAAAGTCAGAAATAGCCAGAGACAGAACAGGTAGCTACTAGGGAAGGACTTACTGTCTTAGGTGTAATGAGAAGCCCTTGTATGACATTTGTACATTAACTGTTGATTTTAGTTTTAAATGGAGTCCACTCTTTAAAGGCTTTTGAAATTTCCTGTTCTTGATTGTCACAGCTGCCTTTTAGACCTTACTTTTCCTTTGTATTTTTCCTTTTCTCTTTTTTGAAAAGAAGATAGTTTTATGTCACACCAAGTTACCTTTCCTGTCTTTGTTGGGTCCTTCTTCCTTTGAAGGCTTTGTCTTTATATTTTCCTGCTGACAGTCTCAATTTTCTGATATACTCCAATCTACACCTTTCTTCTTTTGCTTTTGTAATCAGATTATTTCCTTTTTACATTTCTGTGACCTAGAAAAGAAATCTATTTCATAGACTTATAGAGCTTTTTAGAGTTAAAAAGAACCTCAAAAGGTCCCCTGGTCCACCCCTGTGTCTTTTGGCAGGCAAGGCATTCTCCCCATTTTACAGGTCAGCCAGCTGAGGTCTGAAAAGTTAAACGATGTATAGAGACCACACATCTAGTTAGTGGCAGAGTTGAGTATCCTTTATCCAAAATGGGATCGAAAGTGTTTTAGATTTGGGATTTTTTTTGGATTTTGGAATATTTGTGTTATACTGACAGGTTCAACATCTCTTATCAGAAAATCGGAAATCCAGAGTGCTCCAATGTATATTTTCTTTGAGTGTCATCTTGACACTCAAAAAGTTTTGGATTTTGGAGCATTTTGAATTTTCGGTTTCAGATTTTCAGATTAGGAGTACTCAACCTATACTGGAATCTAAAATAGTATTTCTCATTATATGTGCTAGTATTTAGTAAATATTTTGCCAAAGAAGATTCAGTCGCTGGAACCTCTGAAATGAGAGGCCTTGTGATGCCTACTAGAATAACATTGTTTGCTTTGGAAGTTGCTTGCTTTTTTCTTTTTTTGAGACAGAGTCTTGCTTTGTTGTCCACGCTAGAGTGAGTGCCATGGCGTCAGCCTAGCTCACAGCAACCTCAAACTCCTGGGGCTTAAGCAATCCTTCTGCCTCAGCCTCTCGAGTAGCTGGGACTACAGGCATGTGCCACCATGCCCAGCTAATTTTTTTTTTTTAATATATATTTTTAGTTGTCCAGACCATTTCTTTCTATTTTTTAGTAGAGACGGGGTCTCGCTCTTGCTCAGACTCGTCTCGGACTCCTGACCTTGAGCGATCCACCCGCCTCGGCCTCCCAGAGTGCTAGGATTACAGGCGTGAGCCACTGTGCCTGGCCAGCCGCAAGTTGCTTGCTTTCATGGCTCTAGGTGATATGCATTCATTTGAGTAAAGACTTTAACTGCTTTTTAAAGCTTTGCATCCTTTTGTGGGGAGGAGCAGGGGTAGTCTGAGATATGTGTTTCACTTTGTATTGTGACTTTTCTTTTCCTGTGTTTTTTTTCTCCCAGAAGAAAAATTTGCCCAAGCAGTGTGTTTTTTGCTTGTAGACCTGTATATATTAACCTACCAAGCTGAGAAAGCTTTGCATCTTCTTGCTGTCCTAGAAAAAATGATTTCACAGGGTAACAATAACAAAAATGGAAAGAATGAGGTGAGTATTCAGAGATGATCAGGCTAAAATTTAAAATATTAATATTTGTGGTTATAAAATATTTTAACAGCTCTATTGAAATATAATTAAAATATCATAAACGTTACCGTTTTTAGAAGTATAGAGTTCATTGTTTTTTAGTGTACTCACAGAGTTGTACAACCGTCACCACTGTCTAATTTCAGAACATTTTTATCATCCCAAAAAGAAACCCTGTACCTATTAGCAGTTGCTCCCCATTTTCCCCTTCCCTCACTCCATGGCAGCCACTGATCTACTTTCTGTCTCTGGATTTCCCTATTCTGCCATTTCATGTAAATGGAATCATAATATGTGGCCTTTAGTGAGTGCCTTCTTTCACTTAGTGTAATGCTTCCAAGCTTCCTTTATGTTGTAGCATGTACTTATTCCTTTTTTATATACTTCATCCCTTTTTATGGCCAAATAATATTTCATTCATTATATGGATATGCCACATTTTTTAAATTCATCAGTTGATGGACATTTAGATAGTTTCCTACTTTTTGGCTGTTAGAAATAATGCTGCCGTGAACATTCATGTACAAATTTTTGTAAGGGTATGTTTTTAGTTCTCTTAAGTATAACATTTAGGAGCAGAATCACTGGGTTAAATGGTAACTGTATTTAATCTTAGGGGGAACTAACTACCAAACTGTTTTCCAAAGTGGCTGCACTATTTTACATTCCCACCAGCAAAGTTATAATTTCTCCACATTTTCACCAACTCTTGTTATTGTCTGTCTTTTTAAAAAAAAATTTAGCCATCTTGGTGTGAAGTGATATCTTATTATAGTTTTGATTTGCATTTCCTAATGACTAAGGATGTGCATCGAGCATCTTTTCATGTGTGAGACATTATTTTTACAGAATGTAAAAGGTTAGAACATTAAGATAATTGGAATACATAGTCTGGATAAACAGTGTAGCTTTCATTAGGGAAAATTTCATCATTAAAGTTCTTCAAAAAGAGCTTGTCTTTTTTTTTTTTTTTTATTTCAGGGTATTATGAGGGTACAAACATTACAGTTACATTTTATGCCTTTGCCTCACCCAAGTGAGGGTTAGAGGCATGCCCTTCCTCTCTACAATGCTCCCCATGTCCTTTAGTTGTGGATTTACCCCCTGCCCATCCCCCTAATCCCTGGAGAGTATTACTGCCATGTGAGCACCCTGGTGTTCAACAGTTATTACCAATCTGATGGCGAGTACAAGTGGAGCCCGTTCTTCCAATCTTGCGATACCTCACTTCGGATAATGGGCTCAAGTTCAATCCAGAAAAATATAAGAGGTGCTAGATCACTGTCTTTTCTTATAATTGAGTAATATTCCATTGTGTACATATACCAAATTTTAATAATCCACTCATGAATTGATGGGCATTTGGGCTGTTTCCACATCCTTTCAATAGTAAATTGTGCTGCCATAAACATTCGGGGAAGGTGACTTTATTATAGAATGTCTTTTGCTCTTTTGAGTAGATGCCCAATAGTGCTATTGCTGGATCGAATGATGTTTCTATTTTTAGCTCTTTGAGGTATCTCCAAATTCTTTTCCACAGAGGTTGCACTAATTTGCACCAGCAGTGTAAGAGTGTTCCTGTCTCTCCACATCCTTGCCAGCATTTGTTGTTTCGGGATTTTTTGATAGAGGCCAGTCTCATTGTGGTTAGGTGATATCTCATTGTGGTTTTGATTTGCATTTCTCTAATGATTAGAGATGTTGAACATTTTTTTTTTTGAACTTTTTTTTATATGTTTGCTGGCCATTATCCTGTCTTCTTTTGAAAAGTTTCTGTTCATTTCCTTTGCCCATTTGTTGATGGGGTTGTTTGATTTTTTCTTGTTGATTTTTTTTTTT